TTCAAACCAAAAAGAACAAGCATCTTGAAGCAACATCTTACCAGCTGAAAAGTTGGGGACATAAGATACCTAAGCCAGTTGCAGGAGAAAAGAAAATCAGAGGTTGTAGCCATATCAGAGTCTTAGAATGCCTGGAACTAAATTAGCAAAATAAATTAATTAGTGAACACATTACCATATAAGGATGAAGAGTAGAACATAGGAGGTGCTAAGAAACCTCATATAAACCAAACTTATTTTGTAGCTTTAGGGTATTTAAAACCTGAAGATCATTTTCCCCGACCTCTCTCAAATCACAGGCAGTTGAAGTACTCCCAGTTACCTAATATTGAGATGACACTTGTCTTTTAGTAAAATACAACTTTCAGAAGTGATTTGAAGACATCAACCAGAAAAAAAAAGCCACCTCTTTTCTATCTAATGTGTGCCAGTGGATCATCCTCCTTGCAGTTAAATGTTTCTCCCTAATTTCTCTTTCAAATTTATTTGGTTCTTGTCACAACTCTGGTGTGTATTCTAACTATGACTTCAGTTCTTTGGATGACTCTACTGTATAATATTGCTACTACCTACCTACTTCGATCTTTTAAAATGCCTTAAATAGTAAAGAAACATTGCCCCCCATGATTTATTATTCCTGCTTTTATAAAAAACCCCAATAATATCTGTACGCTGATCATAACATAAATGTGATAGTAACAATTTAATCTTTAAATATATGAAAATGATCAGAGAGCTGGAGTACCTCTTCTGTGAAGACAGACTGAGAGAGTTGGGATTGTTCAGCCTGGAGAAGAGAAGGTTCTGGAGACACCTTCTAACAGCCTTCCAGTACTTAAAGGGGGCCTGCAAGAAAGCTGGAGAGGGACTTTTGACAAGGGCATGTAGTGGTAGGACAAGAGGCAATGGCTTTAAACTGAAAGAGAGTAGATTTCCCTTAGATCTAAGGCAGAAATTCTTCACTCTGAGGGTGGTGAGACTCTGGACCAGGCTGCCCGGAGAAGTTGTAGATGCCCCATCCCTGGAAGTGTTAAAGGCCAGGTTGGATGAGGCTTTGGGTAACCTGGTGTAGTGGAGGGTTTCCCTGCCCATGGCAGGGGGCTTGGAACTTGATGATCTTTAAGATCCCTTCCAACCCAAACCATTCTATGATTCTATGATTTACTCTGGATATAAAATATATAGTCTTGATTTTCATTTACATTATTATTATTATTAAGCAAAGTGACTACAGGGTATATGTAAACCAAACCCACATTTTACCACTAACTGGTAATTACATGGTACTGAACATTTCTCATGTAATAATTATGTAATCATCATGTTATTCCTTGTATATAAATTTTATGAAGTTGTTTCTTGACACTGTATCATTCTTTATAATAAGCATGTATAAGAGCTTTAGTTCTTTTTAAAAAAAACTCAACCTTTTCCTTTTTTTTTCATGGTAAACATTCCCTATTACTTATAACAACACATAATGACTACTTTGGAGCCACTATGGTCTGTAGAGAGAGTAATATACATTTTTTCAATGATCTAAAAGAAATGCTTAATAGCAAGATGTGAACATCAAATTATTTGGTTGGGGATACTTGCTTAAGCATCCCCAATTTTTTTGTTCTTTTACTAATTATTTTGAAATATCTTAAAAGTTTGCAATCTATGGCTAGAAAAATATAATAAAAACAGTCTTACTTTTCAGATTTTTTAAAATTTGCTTCCTTTCCAATTGGATAAAATATAGACAGTCTAGTTACTCATCTTGTATTTGAGAACTTTACAACTTAGTTTCCAGAACATGGAGATATATAGACACAGGTGAAAATAAATTCTTATACTTTTGTTAGTTTCTTTGTTTTAGATCATTATCTGTTTTAGATCATTAGTTTTGTCCATCTCCCTATCATAAGAATCTGGCCTGTGACTTTGATATTTTCTGCAGTGCATTCCCTGATTCAAAGTGATACTCACGTGCATGACAGTTATCTCCAAATTGCATTTAAACATGAATTGTTATCTAAGATCCTCTTAGGATCAGCACCAAAAACATACTGTGAAGGGAAGTTGAAAATGATACTTTGTGAACGATCTGATCAGAAGTAAATTTCTATTGCTATATGAAGCTGATGTCCTCCACATTCCAGCAGGAGGATTGAATATCTGTGTCTTTCAATAGAAGGTTTTGGAGCATCTAATATCTTTATCTTTTATCCTGCATATTGTAATTTATAATAATTTATAATTATTTATAATTTTTGTTCTATCAATTATGAAAAAAAAAAAACAACACTAAAAAAATGGTTTTAAGAGTGCTTTTCCCCCAAGTTTACCTGTGCTCTAATGACATTCTTTTGTAGAAAACCTGTC